TGGAGCTGGGCTTCCCCCTGGCACCCCAAAACTCTCCATGGTGGGGCCTGATGCCCCCTCCCTGGTGGCTGTCGCCTGTCGTGGGGGGCTGACGGTGACCCCCAGCTCTGCCAACCTGCATTTCCACAGAGTTTATTAGTAAGTCAATAAAACCTGTTATTTTTATTGCCACGTACCCGGGGGGGGTGGCACTGGGTGGGATGGGAACAGTGTGGAGGTGACGGGGGACATGGCACTCCCTGTGTGCCCGGTGATGGGGCCAGCTCCGCTGCCATCTGCTTTGGGTGCTGAAAACCTCTTTGAGAACAGCTTGGTGGGGCTTGGCTGGAGGGTGAGCACGGCTCTGCTCCTGTCCTGTCCCCACGTCAGCTCCCGCGCACTTGGGAGCCGCCGGGTTCCTGCGGTGGCTTCAGGCTCTGTCTTTCCTGTCTCGTCCCTTGTCATGGGACACTGGTGACGTGCCCCAGCGATGAGGAAACTGCCGCCGGCCCATGCGGTCACCGGCACTATTCCTGTCCCTGCTGGGGCTGCACAGTCCCTGCCGCCCGCCTGCCCCAGGGTGTCACAGCCGTGGGGACCCGTGTGGAGCCCGAGAGGGGATGGTGCCATGCGGAGCCCTGGGGTGCGAAGGGTGGCTGTGAAGTGCTCTGCTCTGCTCTGCTCTGCCCACAGGGTTCTGCTCACCCGGGCACAGGGACAGTGTCCCACCGCAGCACTGCGCACACAGGAGGGTCCATAGGGGCAAGGAGGGAGGGAGGGATGGATGGATGGAGGAATGGATGGATGAACAAGTGGATGGACAGAAGGACAGGGCAACGGGGGGGGAAGCGGGGACGGAAGGACAAGTGGATGGACGGACGAATGGACAAGTGGATGGACGGACGGATGGATGGATGGATGGATGGTCAAGTGCATGTATGGGTGAATGGATGGACAGAGGGATGGTAGTTGATTCATTGTATGGGTGACAGGTAGGTAGATAGGTTGATGGAGAGGTGGATGGTTGGATGGATGTGTGGTGGACGTGCAGATGGGTGTGTGGATGGATAGGTGGACATCGACAGATGACGAATGGACTGTCTAGACACACAGATGGACACACTAATACAGACAGATGTGGAAAGAGAAGGATGTTCTCCTGGCTCCCAGCCCCCCAAACCCAACCTAGCACCACCTCTGCTGCGGGACACACGGAGGAGGAGGTGGCAGGTGCTGACCCAGGGACTCCTGCAGCTTGTGGGCACCCTGTGGGGGGGAAGTTTGGGGAAAAGAGGACACTTCTTCCTCTGGCAGTGAGTCACGGGCGCGCTTCCGTCCTGGAGCAGACGTTATCACTGGGCTGTCCCCCCCATGCCACCACTGAACCCTCCCAGTGTGGAAGTTCAGCGCGGGGAAGCTCCCTCTGCTCACACCGGCAACTTGGTGGCACCAAAATGAACCCAACACATCCCAGAGAGCGGATCCCACATACCCATTTTCATGGAGTGGACAAAGCTGGCTCCATCCTCTGGGAAAGGAGATCTGGGGGAGGGGATGGTAAGGGGCTGTTCGCAGTGCGTGCTGCCATGGTGCTGGGGCTGGGGCTGAGTGAGCTGGGCTCTCCCATGGTGGTTGCATAAGGCTGACGCAGCAGCGAGGGCAGCGCTGCCCGCATCATGCTTCCGCTGCCCTTGGGCAACACCCGCCGCCTGTGGTGCCTCCCCAAGGGCACCCATGGGTGGTGCTGGGCAGAGGGGATGAGCCACGCTTGATCAGTGCCTGGATTCACCACCTACAGGGATGGGTAGCTGGGAGCAGATGGATGGAGGGATGGAGCATCCCCCAGAGCATCACTGAGTGCCATGGCTGTGCCAGGATGCTCATGTTTCTGCTCCCAATCAGGCCCCCAGCAGGCTTTTGGCACAGGGATTGGGTTGTCCCTACAGCAGGACCAGGGTCTTTGGCATAGGGGATGGATGCATGTGCCTGGCATATGCTGTTTGTGCCTCCAGGCCTGATGCCAGGGTGATAGGTGCACGGGGCTGAGCTCTCCCCATGGCACAGGGACCCAGCCATGGGCAGTCCCTGACCATTCCAGGATGCTCTGAACTTCCCAGGCTTCCTCCACCCTTCTTATTAGGACAGGTTTTTAGCTCCCATGGCTAGACTCGGTATGTGAAGCCCCTGTGATGGGACATCAGCGTGCCCACATGGTGGCACCCCCATCCCTGGGTGCCAGCCCTGTCGCTGCCACCCTCTTTTGCATTTGGGTTTCAGGGCAGCTGAGGATGTTTTCGGTTCAACCAACCCGTTGGGTGCTGTGCGGTGAAACCAGAGTGACTCAAAGCATCTCTTCTCCAGGAAGCCGGGTCGTGGGGTTCTGGGATGAGCAGCGGGACCCACACGGACGCCCTCGAGGAACTGATTCGAAGAACAAGCCCGTTGGCCAGGCAGCATCATTTCCTCCTGCCGGGCTGCTCATTGGCCGCGGGGCACGGCCTCGCTCCCTGATGCCTCCCTGCTGGGGCCGGGTGCCCCGGTCGGAGGTGAGGGAGATGGGTGCTCTTTAAAAGGCGAAGTTCCCCATCGGCAGCAGTGAAG